GGAGTTCAAAGGTATTTACCTATATTTCCCTCAAAAAAAACCTGAACCTGAAAATGCTGTCTTTGCGTTTACAAAGGCGTTTGCATCTTATAGGCCTGGGAACGTATTAATAAACAGAGAGGAATATCACGAATAGGAACGAATACGCGAACCATAAGTTGCCAAGAGGATGAACGCATAATCATTGAGACTGCACTTGCAGCTGTGCGAGCTTTAGATCTCGTGCAAGAAGCCATCCTCAGAGCCTGTGTGTGTGTGTGTAATAACCCCTTTCCTCTTTGCTGAACTGCAAAGGCCGCTCAAATGGTTTTTGCATACTCACGGTCTCTAATGATGGGTTCTTGCACGAGACCGAGAGCTCAGACAAATGCAAGTACTGTCACACGCGTTCACCTTCTCTACAGGGGAGGATGCGTGTCAACAAATGTGGTTAAAAGCCAGATCGGATCGCAGAAGCCGAAACAGTTCCACGACAGAAGTGCCGACTTAAATTACAATAAAGGCACCTGGAAGCTTGACTGGAGAGCTGCACATCTGGAAAATAGCATGTTCACATGTGCAGCAGTTTGTTTGAGGTCGGACAACCGTGGCCTCATTTCTGTTAGTCTATATCTAGGCCTCCTAGTTTAAGAGGAACCCCCTCTGCGTTAGGCCCCCTGACCCTAATTCATCAAATTGCCATCTATCATATTGAGGTCGAGGCGGTAACTATGCTAGTAGGGTAGCAGCCGTCCATTACTTAGGCCTTGCCTCGCTGTGCACGGTGTCCGAAACTTAGGTATCTACCACCCCCACCCGAATCCGTCCGTTATTGGTTTTGCTTGTTTGTTTTTTACGTTAGGAATTATCAAGGCAGGCTGCTGAGGCCGACTTCTCCTCGAGGTATAGTGCCGAATACGCCTGACCGTATACTCTTTGGTCCGAAGGACCATAACTGAATTTTCCAGGCCTTCATTTACCGGCCGCAGATAAGCAGACCGTAAAATTGGTCTTTTCCCGAGGCTCGATCGTCAGTTGCACCCAGTAAGTAATTAAGACCTGGCACTAGTACACCTGCAGTCAAGGTCTCTAACTTCGTATCGCCACTGCCCTTATTTGCATGTATTTCACTTGCAAGATCCATCGGCATTCATACCGAACGGTTAGGACCTATTATCCGGGAAGGAGCATTCATCCTCAGCAGCAACAGAGGCAAACTGTAGACTAAACAGACATCGGAAAATTGTATATACAGCAGAATTTAATGGAACCATAAACAGACATCCCCACATATCACGCCGACGTGATTTGTCAAGTAAAATCGTCTGTAATTTCGGTTTCCTTGGTACTTCGAACGACAAGTAATGACTATTTACGGTGGATATAGTAGCCGAGTTCTGGATAGACAACTTCTAGTACACAATGGGCCAAAAGTATTTTATGTAATGCATCTCATATATTATAATATATATGTATGTTGCCAGTTTACAGGCAATTTTAACAATTGTGTTAATGGGTAAAGCACCTCTTGCGTGCCTTCCAAAACGTTGTCCCAGCATTTTGCCCTACAGAAACGGTGGTTATGGGGCTTTTGGTGGTATGGAAAGAGGATAGACAGTGAAGGAAGTTTGTAGAAGTGTTGAGTGAAAAAATTTGGTTGAAGTCGTTTCCCGCGGCTGCTGGGAGTAAGTTGTTCCGCAAGTAAATTGAAGGTGTGCGCGGCGCTTCACGCCGCGGAGTATACTAATCTAACTCTAGAACGGTTAGTTGAATTAGACGACCTAACCACCATTCCAATTTTTAAAGGAATTTCGAGAAACCTGCGTCTTGATAATCAGGCTTTTCCCCAATGCGTTAAACGATAATACGGATTAGAAAAATCTACAGATGTAAATCAAGATCATTTCTAATTACAATAAAATAGAAATGCATATAGCAGTTATTAAGGTTTATTCCACTGTCTATCCTTTTTCCCCACCCATATAACCACCGTTTCCGTAGGGCAAAATGCTGGAACTAGGGGGTATATGAGGTGCACTACTTAACCAACTGTTGCGAATGGGTCAATTTACTGTTACCGACACTGGTTAGACTTGCGTATTAACTAAATTATGACGAGGGAGCACTCACCCGCCCCATAGATCCCGCCGTATTCCCGAATAGCAAAGGCAGTAGAAAGCCAAGACAGTTAGCGACAAGTTTTGACAGTTTGGCGTTGTTTTTACACAACTAACCTCACCGTACGCGGTGTATACCAGTCGGCCGATGTCGTTTAGGTGAAAAACACCCAATAAATATATGTATAGCGGAATGGTGATCGATTACGAACTACCGGACGGGCAGTAAGAAGAGACCATTTCATTCTGGTCACATTCGTGCGCCACCCGCCGGGCAGATATGTCGAAACGTCGGCCACGGCTTTGCAAAAGACATACATGTCAATGGTCTGTGAACCCCAATTTCGGGGTCACGAGTATGTACCAGATGCCTCGAGTACACCGCACAGGAGTATTTTACCAAAACCGGATCGATAAAGACCTCTGAATACGCCTCCGCCCCGTTATACAAAGCAAAAAAATCAAGCGTGACTCTTTTGGCTTGTTTTACAAGGCATATATACACAAACACACACTACTTCGGTTTCTTGAACTTGTGTGATTTGATTAGGTTGACGCGTATGCCTCTTAGTTCGCCGGCGTATGGTGTGTCCTCCTTGCGGACCTCGGGGACACGGGAGCGATAGCGGATTTGGGCCTTTCGGAATTTGTGCCGGAGATGGACACGCGGATTGCGCTCTCGCTTGTGACGGTACTTCAGGATACCCTTATTTT